GATCAAGTTATTGAAAATAATAACAAATTTATTACAATGACATATTTTAATATGATACAATCTATAACATTGGAATTAAGACCTAGACTCCAAATATGCAATGCTTTCATCCACTTGCAAATGAAAGTAAATTCTGCGATAGTTGGGATCAAACTTTTAGAAGAAAGTATTGAAATTAGTATAGGAAACAAAATATTAAAATTGTTAGTGAAATCTATAAAATTAATACCAAATTCATTGTCTGCGTTAAATATAATAAATAATTGGATTTCTTTTCGTTTGCAAATTAAATCTGATTCTGCTTTTGGATCTCTTCAAACAGAATTGCTTAATAACTCTTTGCCAAAGATAAATTTTCCAAATGATTTTGTAGCTTCTTATGATTCAGAAAATGATGAATTACTTAATACATCTCATTGCCACATATTATGTACATGCTGTAAAATTACACTTTCTAAAGAAGTAGTTGTTAAGAGAGTATTGCCTGTGCCAGATCTGAATTATGATCCAAGCGAATGGTTTTGTTGCAAACACGATCATGATACTATAACGCAAAATTTGATACCTTCGGAATCCGATATCTTTTATGGGCCATTTTTTGTTGTTGTCCACATGGGTATATTTAATGAAAATTTAAAAATAGATGGAAATAGTATAATTTGCAACAGATGCTTGCAATATTTGGGAAAGGTTGATAAAAATAATTCGCTTAAACTGTGGAGTTACTCTATTGACTACAGTTTATCCAATAATTTAAAAACAAAAAGTGCAACTGATCCTTTCACTGACTTTTTAATAGCTATAAAAACTTCAATGACTGGTATGTTTGGCGAAGAAATAGTTTTACAGTCCTTCGTGGGGAAAGAAACTCATTGCCTTATTCTAAAACCAATGGACTGGAATTTAAATTTAATGATAGAGCCTAAAAGAATTTTAACTAATAATATCGTAACTTTGCAAAAAGTATCTATTGTTAAAGTATTATATAAATATGAGACAAATAGAAGTATCACAGATTCCATGAACAAATCATACTGCGAAGTAGGTTTATCAGTGATAAAAATTGGTTTAGAACATTTAGTACTATCAACAAAACGATTTCCAAAACCTCATAGAGTCGCATCCGATTACTACATCGGACACATATATTTGGAGAAACCAATAAATGAAATTTAATTATATTTCTAATGTTTCTATAAGAAACTAATTTTTATTACTCCATACAAAAACAATAACTTTTATCCAAATTTTTTTATTTCAAATAAAAATCTCATAATTGTAATTTTAAGTCAATCGATATGTATAATATGTATTCATAAATAAAGTTCTATTTTGTCGAAATTTTATATT